CGAATCGGCGAGCCACTTGATGCCGACGCGCTGACCGACCTTAACGGGGGAGTGCGCGGTGTGCTCGCCGATGGCGACAATGACGCCAACGCCCTCGTGGCCGCCGACGAGCGGATTCTTAGGCTTGACGGGCCAGTCGTGCTTCTTTGCGTGAAGGTCGGTGTGGCAGACACCGGTGTAGGTGAGCTTAACGAGGCACTCGCCTGGCTCGAGCTCGGATGGCTGACGGACGGGGTAGTCGGTCCGAATCTCGACGGCGGCGCCCGGGGCGGGAACGACTGCGGCGACCTGGGTCTTTGGGATAGAGACGTTCGACATGATAGAGCTCTCGAGGATTAACAGTGCGTAGAGCTCTGATGAGAGGCGAGTTGGAAGTGTGAAGAAGGGGAAAGACGAGGAGAGGCTGGGTATTTATAGGCATGAAGAGGCTCCCTCCCGAAGCACACACTTCACATCGGAGCGGAAGGCTATCGGCGTTGCGTGCGTAGCGCGCGGGTGGCCCGTCTAGGCAGGTCGACCCTCGAGCTCCAGCTGCCTCCAGCTCCGGTGTTGCGGCGACCAAGCGACTACATACACAGATTGACATATCCTTCCTATCGTGCCCGATCGACTTGTCAGATGATGGTGCAGCGCAAGCTTGTTATTTCACGCCTACATCATCTGACAGCCGGCGTGCCAGGGTCCATTTCGAATTGTGGCGAGTATTATCGACACTCAAGGGCCACCAACGTCGGTTAGCACAGCGGGGGGCCTGGTCTTCGTCTGGCCTTTCTCCAGCTGTGCGCCCAATGGCGATGCATGAGCCGTACAGCGCAGCCTCATGTCTCGTAAGATGAGAGGGCAGCTGGAGGTGGGAGGAATGGCTGGACCCGATAGAAAGCAATCCAGGCCCGTCTGCGGAGGGAGACGGACTGGGCAACCTGATGCAGGACCCCTGAAAATACCGATAGATGCCGGTGCAGGACTTGATTTTGTCATGTCCGGACTTTTTTTGGCGCGCCCCCGCCTTTATGTCCGGATAAAATACCGGCATCGGCCAAGGTCGGATCCATGTCCGGACTATTGCCCCGGCCTCTAGGAAACAGCAAAAATCACCCGTTGTAGTCCACAAGTCATTCTAGACACTAGATACTAGGGTGTATGTATGAAAACCTGAAATGTGCATAGTCTGAGGTAGAAAGTTCAATAGATAACGGAAGAGCCTTCGGGCTTGAGATCTCCAGCATGCAAAGAAAAGACGTGGCAGGCAAATGAGTGATTCGGCAGGCATTGTGCATTGCCAGGGTCTGAGAGACAGCGCGAAATACCCGCCCGTTCATGGCTTCGTAGCCCTGGACGGCGAGATACGATACCGCCGCGATATTGGAGGCATCTGGCACCCAGCTGTGTCTTCCATGTGTGCCTCCGGATTTCAGCGTGATACTAAAAACTGTATAATTCCGTGCAAATAAGGGGTACCCGAGGGTTCACAACTACGGAGGCATGTCTATCCTTATTCGGTGAGAAATACCATACCGGGTAATGATAATGTACTAGTCGCGACGAAGTGGCAGGCTGCTGACCATGTCCGGACTACAACCGGCCTCACTGCTGGAGTGCCGTTGGTGTCCGGACTAAAAAACCGGGTTGGACGGCTGAGACCCCTACTTACGTCCGGACTGGCTCCGGCGTCCTTCGCCCGAGGCGCTTTTTTTGTCCGGACTGGCACCGGCATCTATCGGTATTTTCAGGGGTCCTATCCGTCTGCGGTTATGATACAGCGTGATGATCGAGTCCTTCACCTTCTCTCTCCATCCCTCTGCCTCTCTCGTGTTCAGTTCACCTCCCGTCTCAGTTGTCTGCGACGCAATTCGCCGCCGCGTTCTGTTTCCCCCAGGTTTCCGCGAAGACATGAGCACATGTGTGAGTTCTCCCACTCATCCTCTGGAACCGATCCAGAAGCTAGGAAGATCCTCAGGATGACCTCGTATCACCCAAGCGAGCAAGGCATGCGATGCAGCTTGTAAGCTCGCAAAAACGCATGGAGCTGCGCTGAAGGCGATGGTGCTCCTTACCGCGCCCCTAACCTGAGCGAACACTTACAAGAATCAGATTCTTTCGCGGCTGGAAAACACTTCTCCATCTTTCCCCGAGGAGAGCATTCGACCGTGCCCGCCGCCTGATCCCTTGTTGCGCTTTTCTCGAGAACGCTCGGTTCTCGCGGTCGTCGCTGCTTCAGGGACTGTTCCCCGTCTTCTGCCACGGTCTCCGAGCTCCCCTCGTCAAGCTCTCCGTGTTCAAACTCGTCGGGGATGGTAAGCTCTTTTTTCTGCTGTGTAGCGCCCCAGCGATTGATGGGTCCTATTTGGAGGCTCGTCAAGTAGCCTGCAGACGCCGAGACCAGACCCACAAAATCTGCTAACGACTGCGTCTACCGGGCAGCTTCTCGGCGTACAGCCCGCAAGCGGTCGGCATGCCCAACCCACCGCTTAGCGATACAGGTCAATGGCCACCACCAGGAATGACTCCGATCCTGCCGGACAACTGTCATCTTCGTCGTCTTCGCGTATTCTTCTCGCATCGCACACAGGACAGGAACGGCCTGCCTGGTCGGAAATTTGCAATCGCAGACGGCTGACGTTTCGCGGTACGCATCGGCGCTGCACGATGGCGGAATCGCAGAGTCTTGGCTTTGCTACCCATTCATCGGCTTTGCGTCCGCTGCGCGCTAGAACCCCCCTTCCCGAGAAACGTGTATGGAACGCGAGGCACCTTATCGGACGAACCGCTGAAAAGAGGTCCCGTGCTGTCGCAGAGGCCACGACGCGCAGGGATCCATTCTTCCTCGAAGCTCGACTACCGGTGACGTACCTTTACAGGCGGCGGAGTGGACAGTACCCCCAGGTCTTTCGGCGGGACGAGAGAGCACCCTTCGCCCGTAACGTGCGTGGAGTGGGCGTAGAATCGATCGCGATACGAGATGGGTGGTGCTTAATCGGAGATGGCGCACTCGAGAGCGGGCGTTGATGACGAGATACCGCATTGTATGTGGATAGCGTGTCTTGAGGAAGCCTCACGGGCACAATCTTCATGTGTGTTTTCTGCAAGCGCAGTGCATTCCCAGCGCCTTCCGCTGATGTATCCGATATATGATAGAAGCCGTCAGATGCCCATTGTGCAAAAGAAGACGGACGATAGGGCTCCACGAAGACACACGCGTCGATGTGCCGTATCAGACGCGGTTCTCGTGGGCTGTACAAAGGGAGGTATCTGTCGCTCGTCCACAAGCCCCGACGGCGTTTTGCGATATATGTCGTTCTGAGAAGCGTCGAAATCGATACCAACAAGAGGACCTTGCCCCGAGTGTCTGCGTCCAGATCTTGACCATGATTTGGAACGCAAGACACACTTATTTATGAAAATACAGGTATACATTCAATCCGCTGTCTACATCCGCATCCTCATTCGAGCCAGCACTCCTTCGTGTATGAGTGCATCACTTTTCCTTGCTCTCAGGGACGCCGGTTGGTTTGGAGGACGGGCTGTCCTTGGGCTTTTCACCGGTGCGGCCCGGTTGTCCTTCGTGGCTCTCTTTCCCCGGAAGAGCTGGGACCTCACCGCCGCGTTCGTCTTCACTCGGGGACTCTTCCCTGTCGTCAAGTTCTCCGTCCTCAAACTCCCCGTCGTCGAGTTCTCCTTCTTCAAGTTCATCGCCATCAAGTTCCCTGTCATCAAGCTCGCCGTCCTCGAGCGCGCCATCCTCGAACTCTTCGTCTTCGAGCTCTCCATCTTCAAGCTCCCCATCTTCAATGTCTGCTTCTTCATCCTCATCGTCGTAAAGGTCGAAGTCGACCCCCTCCTCGAAGGTGTCATTCCTCGCCTTGAACGTCTCCACCTCGTCCCAATTAAAATCGCGAGAGACTCTGCGCAGGACTTCGATATCCTCTCGGAAGATATTGACTCCCGCGCGAATGGTAAGACTTTTGATGCATTGCGTACCGTCGCAGCGCTGATAAGGTGTTACAAGGCGATCCAGAAAGTCGCCCTGGTCTTGCTCGGACAACCGAGACGATGCCCGGAACCAGACGCCTTCCAGGTCGAGCGACTCGAGTTGGGGGAACAGTGGCCGCCTATACCAGAGATTACCGACGGGTTTCTGTAAGTAAAGACCCATGGGGAATACGGCTGTGCCTCGTTCCGAAATGCCAAGTGTCCTGATGGACGGCATCACCTGAAAAAGCGCTCTCCAGGACTGTGTGGATATTTCCGTGTGGGCGCGAGCATTTCGTATGGCCAGTTGCTCCACGGCCGATATCCAGGGCGCGGTACGGGTCGGTCCGAACTTCGTGCGCAGTAGATCAATGACGCGATATTCTTCCCATTCCTCAAAGTTGTCGAAGATGATGTAGGTACCGACTTGAGGTGGACAGGCAGGTACAGTCTCGTCTGGCGTCAATGCCACATGAAGGCTGGTGGGATTGGGGGCATACAACGTGCATCCCCCGAACGCCGTCCTGCCGTCGCCCTCGAATCGCCGTCTCACCAGCTCCATGACCTCCGGCAAGTCGTCGTCACAGAGAATCGAGAGACGCACGAAGTCAACGTGCGGCATCGATACGAACGCGAGGAGCTCTGCTTCGCCGACGCTTTGAATCGCCATGTCGACGCGACGTAATCCTTCCAGGCAAGTGGTCTGGACTATAGCATTCTCTTCCGCGGTTGGTAGCAGGTTCACCTTGAGCTCGAGAGACTCGAGGTGAGGAAGGTGGTGGAGAAGCTGTATCACTTCGCCGGTCGTGGTGGAGACGCAGACGCCTGCAATTCGTAGGCTGGTAATGGAGGGACTTAGCAGCGCCCTGAACTCGTTGAAGTCGAAGTTCGTGACGTCGAGGTGTCGCAGCTTCGGCGACGCGAAGCAAGATAGATCAACGGGCTCGTCGCGGTCCACCCTTTCGATCTCAAGCATCTCTAGGATCGACGCGGCCCCTTTCCTCCGTCCATCCAATGCACGTAACGCCTCCGAAGTCGTCTTTAAGCTGAGAGACCGTACGCGCGATATTTGGTTCATGACGACCGCCAGCTTTCTCCCATCGGCCTCCGTCGACAACGAGCCGGCTACGGCGATGGGCAAACGCAGTGTCCGTGCTAGCATGGTCCTCACCGAGTCCAGACTTCCTATCCATATATTCCTCCAATGGGTTGCGTTGTGTACAGTTGCCTCTCTCCAGCTGCGACATACGTGGGTCGCGGCGAGTAACCCGGTGGCACTCGGTGGCACAATAGCCCCCGTGGCAGCGTCGGTACCGTCGCCCGTCCCAAATTTCACGATCTTTGAGATGAGCTCATACGAGAGATTAGCGAAGTTGCTGCGAGAAATGTGTGAATAGGACATGTTGATTATTCGGTCGTGGATTTGCGCTAGAGAGAATTTAGTCAATGTTTGACACCGACGGAAGGTAGACTCGGAGGACGTACGATATGAGACTTGTTGGATAAATCAGGCCTCGGTGGAGAGTAGGCGTTGATGTAGGGAGTTCCCGTAGCGTGTCGTTGTGGGACAGACGTCAGAGAGAACAATGTTGTGTCGCTGAAAGGAGGCGGAGTTGGCGTCCCAACTCAGTGCTTGTATGCTGCTGATTGGTCAAAGGGGTTCTCACGCCACTCACCTGCCCAATGGCACGTCCAACAACGCGTCTGTGTTCTTTCGAGTCCGAAGCGCACTGCTGGTAGGAGCTGATGAGTGCTCTCGTTGTATTTTATACCACATCCGGGCATATTAAATTTAAATGCTAGCGCCGCGTGTACAGTCCGCGTTACATTTTATATGGCACCACTGTTACAAGGATGATATTCTTCTCGTTATTAGGAGGCGCTGTCAGCTTGTTCTTCTGTGTCTGGTGTCGTTAATTTGCTGATAAGTCCTGTCCAAGCCGTTCAGGAAATATTTTCGGTCGTGGTAGAGCGGCATGCGATATATATTTTTTGAGTTACTTGATTTCCAGGGAATGCCGGTCCACTAGGCAGCAATGATTAAACCAAGGAATCTCTCATTGCCCATGAGCTGGGTGATGAACGTCTGTTTAGCGATAATGAACATTTCGTACGCAATCAAAGCTTCATCCACAAGACTGGTACGAGTGACTGTTGGCCTGGCGAGTCATGGTTATTGATATGGACGGACATGAAGTGAGTACCACCGTCCTCAAATATGTACTCGTTACTGAAGATACGCCGTGGATTGCAGACCGTGGAATGCCAGGCGCGACTCGATTTTGGACGCACTTACACTTCCGCCCGCCTCATCCCATGCATATGCTGCCTGGTTTTGACATCCATGACCGTGGATGTGCTAGTTCTTCCCTGAAAAAGCGGAAGCCTTCGCAGCCAGTAAAGTATTTTGATGCGAAATACTCTTGATCTTTACCAAGGGGGACATTGTTACCTTTTGTTCAGCGTCTGTGCGATTTGCATTTCTATCCTGCCTCGTGTAGCTTGAGTTATCCGAGTCCGAGTCCGAGTCCATGATCTCGAAGGTCTGTGCTTCGAGTCGAGGAGAGTCCATGCCAGTCAGGGAACGACAAACATGATGGACGCCACGTCAGAACGTACATTATCCATTTCATGCCCTCGCTAATGCTCTTAGTAACCTGGACGCCAGCGGGGCTGATGCTCACGGTATCCGTTCCCCGCCGCTCCCAGCGACTCGGTTGGTTGCTTGTCGTCTGCAAAGATCTTGTGGCAGAAATACTGACCGGTTTGTTAGCCGTGTCTTTGGGATCTGCGTAGCTTTCCGTGCACACGGATGTCTGCGACTACGCACCTGTTTCCGAATGTGCATGATTTCTGCTTTTTTTGGCTTGGTGTGGCAAGACCCTGAACCATATATACCGGCGTCGTCGCGTCCAGTAAGGTTGTTTGCTTTTGAACGAACTTATCATACACTCATACACGAACGGTTCCCCGTCGTCCGAGGCTCCTTGGGTGCTTGGAACCGTGAATATCCTGGCTTTCAGTACACCGCACCCCACGGACTCACATGCGTCCTGCCGCGGATATCCCTGACCCCGAGCCGTATTCCGCTCATGCTGCTCACTCGAAAACCGTATCAAGAACATGGACAGAGGTGAGATCACATTCACACAGCCCGAGCAGATATTCCTGCACGAACGGCCTGGCACTCGCATAGAAACTTCGGGGTGTAGAACCCCCTCTCCTCTGTTTTCCTCCCTCTCCTCCACCTATCCTTCTCGCTCCCAACCCCATCCCGCTGATCCCCAAGCCACAACAAAAGATCAGTCCGAGTACGAGTCGACGGCATCGCGCAGCGATTTGTCGAGCCGGTCCTTCTCCTCGTTGGCGGCCGTCTTGTCGCACGGAATGAGGTTGATGATCGCGAGCGTGTACGTCTGGCGCATCGTCTGTAAGTACTGCACTAAGGCGGCGAGTGAGGGAGGAGGAAAGAGGAAAGAGAGACCGGGGAGGGGCAGCAAGAGGAGAAAGCGACGCACGTCAACGCCGCGCTCGATGGCGACCAGCGCGAGCCGGAACGGCTCCGCGAAGCCGAAGGGCGCGAGTAGGCCGTGTTTGCCGATTATCTGCGCAGCGCCGTCAGGTCAGCGGGCGGAAGGAAAAGGGGGACGTACGACGCTCAGGAGCGCTTGGTGGACGCGGACGAACTGTGTGCGGAATCAGTCTGCGAGAGCAAAGAGATGGAAGAACCCACGTCAGTGAGTGCGGTGACGATCGCCTGGCAGGCCTCAGTTCCGACGGAGGCCTGGCGCCTCTCTGCGCCGCCTCTTCCAGAACCAGTGCCCGACCCTGAAGTGAGGCCTCCGCCGGTGTCGAGCTGGTGAAAAGAAGAGAAGTGAGCAGTGGTAGGGGGAGAGTGGAGACGCGGGCGTACGCTCTGTACATCGGCGACGGCGCCCGTCACGGTGATGACGATCTCCTGGAGGGAGTTCAGGATCCTCTGCTTGCCATTCCTGTTAGGGTCGCAACGCTCAACGCAAGAATAGAGGGGACGTACGGGCGCGGAGGCGACGGCGTTGGTGAAGGAGACGGCCTCGACGGTGGAGCGGAGGTCGGCGGAGAGGGTGGTGACACGCTGGAGGTCGCGCACGACGACGTTGCTGCTGCCGCCGTTGCCATTTCCATTACCGCCACCGTTTCCGTTGCCGCCGTTTCCGTTGCCATTGCCGTTTCCGTTTCCGGAGCCATTGCCGTTACCGCCCCCGCGTTGGGCGAGAGCGGTGAGAGCGGTGAGGGCAAGGGGGAGGAGGAAGAGAAACTTCATTGCGGGGCTGCTTTGGCTTAGTGAGATGGAGTACAGGGGATGGAGGGTAGACTTTTATACGGTCGATGAGGTGCGTGGTTTGCATCGCGGGCGGTTTGGCCACTGCATCCCCTACATGGTGGATTGCGAGTGATATCGCACCAGCGGTATTGAAAATTCGGTACATGGCTGAGTGGAAGACTGGATCGACACAGGCTGACCTGCATTGCGGCAGTGGGATGCGTCCGTGCACAAGGCGACGTCCAAGTGGCGCAGACTGGACAGATCGCGCTGGCGCATTCTATGTGGACGTCGAGTGACGAATATATCCAAACGCAATGAGCAAGGAAGCAGCCACCTAGTACAAGAGCTCACAGAGTTTAGCGCGGTAATGGCCAAGGTGACCACGAAATGTGATTGGCCGCAAGTTACGCTGGCGTTTGCGTGACGTCACATTCAGTTCCAGCACTCCGTTCTCCGATTGGGTACTCTGCGTGGACTGTGACATGCTCTCTTCACCCTACACTACCAATGTGCCTGTCAAGACAGCCGTTCCTCCTCTGGCGACTTGTCGTGCTCTCCGACGACTTTTCGCATCGTACTCCGTGGAATATCTGACTCAGATTATCACCACGGACGGTCCACATGGATACTTTCTTGTCGCCGTTCTTTCCTGTTCATCCGCCCTTCTTTAGCTGCTGTAGAACCTGCGACTACCCACCGGATGTCGACGTCGTGGAACTGTATTCCGCAATCATACACGGTCTCTCATTTTTGCATACTACTCCGCTTTACACCCCCGCAAATAAGGCGCACTTGCATTCAAGCTCCATGGAAGACCTGCTTCCTGCTCCACGTCCTGAGTTTGTCCATCCCCTTTCCTTCCCTCGACGACTCGTATTATCTCAATGCTCAGCCCAGCCGTCTTCGACACTGGGCTCGCGGCCGCATGATAGGTGATCCTTGGCCGTCAAAGGTGCCATCGCTGCTGGGGCTCAGTAACCTACATCGGTGATTCTGTGCATTGATATCAACTCGCCTGCTCGTATCCCTCTCTCTCATCCTTCCTTCCTTGCGACAACCCACACTTGGGTCCCATCGACGCACGCGAGGCTTAGAACCCCTCCGTCCCCTCACACCGTGTCGGGGTCTATCTATATCGAGGATTTCTATTTATGTTCTCATCCCCGCCCTCGGAGGCCCCGTTTTCTCCGTGATGTCAGCTTCCTTATCCGACCGCTGTGTTACCCCGTGGGCTCTGCATATACGCTACGCCCAATTTCCCTTCCCGCAGACAATCCACTCTTCTCTTCCGCGCGTCCTGTGGAGAGTACCAAGCCTGGGCACGCACTGAAAGCCCCGGTGCGGGTGGTCAGCAATGTTTGAACAGGGTGAGGCGGCAGGGAACGGTCAGGGAGAGAACACCGCCGTTCCGTACTTATTGATACACCCTACATTGCGGCGAATGCTGAGCTGCGGTAAGTGCAGTGCCGGTATAGGCTGCAGTCTTCACCTCCGAGGTCCTGTGCTGGGATTTCAGTAAAATGCCTATACATCCATTTACGGCAGCTGCTACGACTGGGATGTGATGCTAAGAATTAGAGTAAGGATAACACTCCTCTTATGAATTGTGTCATTGGGTACCGCGTCCCAGTCCATGCCGTTTGACCAATTTGGATGGGATTTATCAGCACATAGACGACCATAAGATGCCAGAATTCCACCATACTCAAGGCAAACAACCTACAGCGCGTCCTAACATTGATGAGAGCTTTTATCCTGTAGCAGTGAAGACATACGCATAGCGAACGGCAGGAGTTTCCACATTCTGTATTCCAGTGCACTCTCGACCGCTGATACCCAGCGCTCGCATTTGAGCTAGTTGAAGTCTGAGATTGCATACAGTATAATTGGGGGTCGGCAACTCCTGCCAAATTTAAACTCCGACCCGCGCGTCACGCTTCAGCCACACCAGCCAGGAAACCTTTGCACCGTGCGGTGCAAACTTTGGGCTCAGTAGCTACTGTAAAATCTGGAAACAAATTGTAGATATTCTTTTGTATAGCGAAGAATCTATTCTTCCCGTCTAATTTTGCGATTTTGGCCTTGAAGGTGGAAAACCGGTCACTTATGGGGGCTATTTAGCACAGAAACACACACACGAAGTACAAATCAGAAAAAAGGACGGGAAGGATGTGATTTCTTGTTCATAAAAGAATATTATATGATTTTTCTGGGAATTGTGGTGCTGTGTGGAGTCCACAGTTTGCACCACAACGATGTGCAGCCCAATGAGCCTGCTCGGCAAGTGCCGAGACGCGTTGAATGAGCGCGTCGCTACGCGTCGGGACGTGTTTTTACGGTGACGCATCACTTCTGGCTGGTCTCGCAGCTATTCTGGGCTGCTTGATTGATCTGCTGGGCTTCCTCGTCATGGATAGGCCCCGGATAGGGTGTTCTCGAGGACAGAAGACTCAATTCCGGAAGATAGGATCTGCAAAGATTACTGCACTATTGGAGGCTGTCAAGAGATTCTCTGAAGGCTACCCTTTTAATTCGTTACCAGCCAGCTGCTGTAATGCCTGAGTCTGAGGACTCTGAAGAATACTGCTTTATTACTAATACAGAGCACTATATAGACTATAATAGTGCTTCTTATTGTAGATATTATCCATATAGCCCTGTATCTGAGACAACCAATCTATCTCATTGTAGTAGAGCTCACTACCACGAAGGAATATGCCACAGAGGCCGGATTGCGAGACGCGAGTGTGACAATCACGGTCACGCGGACATTCGGCTGGCAGGAGTTGCCGACCCCCAGTATAATCAAGGCACTACAGCCTCGTCCTTGAGCAGTACGCGTGGAGCTGGTAAGAGTATTGATGCTTCGGTGGGGGGGCCACCGGCGCGGATCCGGACAATGGAGGGCAGCGCGTGGCGTGGGAACCCCTTCAACCAATCAGCAGCATACAAGCACTGTACAGTGGGAACGCCAACTCCCCTCCTTTCAGCGACACGACATTATTCCTTTCGACTTGCGTTCAACCACAACCGCACGCTACTTGCTCTTCGTGTTCGTCGAGGCCCAAATCATATAACAATACTCATATAGTACGTCCCGTACGCTACATTTCGATGCCAAACATCGACTAAATTCTCTCCAGCGCAAATCAGCGATTGAACAACCACCATGTCCCATTCAATAATGCCGCGCACAAACTTTTCTAATCTCTCCTACGAGCTCATCTCAAAGATCGTGGAATTTGGGACGGGCGACGGTACCGATCCCGCCACGGGGGCCATTGTGCCACCGAGTGCCACCGGGTTACTCGCCGCGACCCACGTATGTCGCAGCTGGCGAGAAGCGACCGTACACAATGCCACCCATTGGAGGAACATTTGGATGGGAAGTCTGGACTCGGTGAGGACCATGCTAGCACGGACACTACGATTGCCCGTGGCGATAGCCGGCTCGTTGTCGACGGCGGCAGACGGGAGGAAGCTGGCGGTCGTGATGAACCAAATATCGCGCGTACGGTCTCTCACGCTGAGGGCTACCTCTGAGGCTTTGCGAGCATTGGATGGACGTAGGAAAGGGGAGGCATCGATCTTGGAGACACTTGAGATCGAGAGGGTGGACCGCGAAGAGCGGGTCGATTTATCTTGCTTCGTCTCGCCAAAGCTGCGACACCTCGACATCACGAACTTCGACTTCGACGAATTCCGACCGCTGTTGAGCCCATCCATGACAAGCCTACGGATCTCAGGCGCCTGCGTCTCGACCAGGACCGGCGAAGTGCTACAGCTTCTCCACCACCTTCCTCACCTCGAGTCTCTCGAACTCAAGGTGAACCTGCTGCCTACCGCGGAAGAGGGTGCCTTAGTCCAGACGACCTGCCTTGGAGCATTACGTCGCTTAGACCTTGGTATCCAAAGCATCGGAGAAGCAGAACTCCTCGCATTCGTCTCGATGCCCCATCTTGACTTCATCCGACTCTCCATTTTCTGCGACGACGACTTGCCCGAGATCATGGAGCTGGTGAGACGGCGGTTTGAGGTTGACGGCAGGACGGCATTCGGAAGGTGCACATTCTATGCCCCAAATCCCACCAGCCTTCATGTGGAGTTGACGCCAAACGAGAGTGTACCTGCTTCGCTACCTCAGGTGGGAACGTACCTGGTGTTCGACAATTTCGAGGAGTGGGATGAATATCGCGTCATTGATCTGCTACGCACGAAGTTCGGACCGACCCGTACCGCGCCCTGGATGTCTGCCGTGGAGCATCTCAGCATACGGAACGCGCGCGCTCACACGGAAATATCGACACAGTCCTGGAAAACACTCTTCAAGACCATGCCCCGCATCAAGACACTTCACATTTTGGAGCGAGGCGTATCTGTATTCCCGACGGGTTTTTACTCACAGAAATCCGTCGGTAATCTCTGGTATAGGCGGCCGCTCTTTCCAGAGCTTGAGTCTCTTGACCTGGAAGGTGTTTGGTTCCGAGCCTCGTCTCGGCTACCCGAGCAAGACCAGGGCGACTTTCTGGATCGGCTGATAAGACCTTATCAGCGCTGCGATGTGACACAGAACCTCAAAAATCTTACTATTCGCGCGGGAGTCAATATCTTCCACGCAGACATCGAACTCCTGCGCAAAATCTCTCGTGATGTCCATTGGGACGGGGTGGAGAGCTTTAGGGCGAGGAACGACACCTTCGAGGAAGGGATCGACTTCGACCTTTACGACGCCGAAGATGATGAAGCAGGCCTCGAAGATCGCGAGCTCGAAGACGGAGAGCTCGAAGAAGAAGAGGTCGAAGATGAAGAGTTCGAGGACGCCGGGTTCGAGGACAGCGAGTTCGAGGACAGCGAGTTCGAGGACAGCGAGTTCGAAGACAGCGAGCTCGAGGACGGCGAGCTTGAGGACGGCGAGCCCGAAGACGGCGAGCTCGATGAGGAGGAACCTGAAGCGGGAGAACTCGAAGATGGGGAAATCGAGGACGGCGAACAATCCTCGAGCGAAGATGAGCACGACGGTGAGATCACGGCTCTTTCTGAGAGAGAGCGTCGGGAAGCGCCACCGGGCGCCAAAGGCAAGGACGGCGTGTCCTCCAAGCCGACCAGTAGCACCGAGAGCAAGGAGAAGTAACGTACCGGAACCACTGGCTGGAGCGAGACTGCGGATGTAGATAGCGAATTGGATGTATTTCTGTATTTTTGAATAAGTGTGCCTTGCATCGGAGGTCATGGTAAGCATCTGGACGCGGATGCTAGAGGCAAGGTCCTCTTGTACCAATTGATTTTGACTCTTCTCAGAATGGCACATGTGAGCGAATCGGTCGCAAAAGATCGCACAGAATGTCGTGCATACCTCGATACCATGGAGGAACGACGGCATCCTGAGCACGTCTGCCTGGCATCGGCGATTGGGCATGAGCGACAGACACGTCCCTTCATACAGCCCATGGGAACCGCATCTGATATAGCGTACGGACTCGTATTCTCGCGGGGCCCTTCCCGTCCGCCTTCTTTTGCACAAAGGGCATCTGACGCCACATGCTCGCGGCCTCTCTTCAGAACGGCTTCTATCATATATCGGATACATCAGCGGAAGAAGTATGAAGTGCATTCTACTTACGGAGGGGATAGATGAACCGGCCGGGGAATATCATCGCCGTGACACTTCACGATGAGTTATCGGCATCATCATTGTTTGCTGCTGAGCATGCCGTCGCCCGATAGCGTATATCGCATATCAATTCTGCGCCCTCTCCACGGTCTTGAGAGAGTAGGAGTTGTCCCGCTCCGCCATCGTCCAGCCAAGAAACGGTGCAATGTACCCGCTCGGACGCTTGTGAAGGTACGTCGGGAATCAGTATCGAGTTTCGGCTGAGCACTGTTCCCTGTACGCCGCGATCCTATATGGGACGCAATCGGGATGGCGCGCCACCCCTTGCAGTGGCTGACGCCATGCTCCATTTCAATTTCATCGAATGTCCTTTCAAGGGCTTTCGATGCAGACACGATACGTACAGACATGACGTTCGCGGGTGGGAGACAATGCCCTGCCAATACATCGCGGTTGATACCCCATGCGCCGATCGCTGTGGTCTGGGCGCAGTTAGGGAGGCCATCGATCCCTGCGCCGCGGAAAATCGCATTTGTCAGCGTACGAGGAGCAGAGAGCAAGAGGCGCAGCCAATGGCTTACTCGCCTCGGGACTATGACGACATTCTGAGTGTCCTCCTACCTAGCTCCCGGAGCGCCTCGAGCATCATGGTAGGTCTCCGACGCATGCTGCATCGCGTATCCAAGGTCGTCCTCCAGGTGGTACAATGGCATACAATATGCGTACAAATGGATCATCAAGGAATAAGGAGAGAATTCGTCGAACGCACGACAAGAGTGGAAAACCTGATCACCCCTCGCTCGCTCTCTATCAACCGTCCGCCGGACCGCCGGAGATCACCCATTTACCAAGAAAAAGCCAAACCGCGCGGCAAAAGAAACACACACGCACCCGCAGTAAACCTCGCAGACCAGAGCACAGCAACCCAATTTTGTAGGCCTGCGCAATCCTCGGCGGGTCGAAAAAGGGAGGAGGAAAGGTCTATGGAGGCTAAGGGAGAAACAAGAGGAGTGATTACTTGATGCACATGCAGGAAACCCAGAGCCTGGGGCTGAGGACGACAACGCGACCTGGACGTCCATATAGACATCTTCGAACATGGGCGAGCTGCCCGCCTGCCAGCGCGCACCACGCACTCGCGCCGCAAGATAGACTCGCTACCGCAACCTTGAGAGTGCATGTGCGCAGGGCAAATACGGTGGAAGTTGTCAGTCTGTTGAGCGAAAACAGAGGCAGTCCGCTTGGAGCAAGCGAGGTTGTAACCCAAAGCAAAATGTTCTGCGCCACAACGCTCGTCTAACGTCCCACCAATCACATGCAAGCAGTCCACATTCCACTCTTCGACTGAATTTTGTCTCTCCAGGGACCCAGAGAAGCTCTCATCTCTCTTGCTTTACTCCGCCCGTACTTACCCCATAAATGTAACCGTCGAGCGTCTGCCCTCTGCCTGAACCCGACCTCTCCGACGATCTCCCTTGACTGCCACCTGCGAGAGGTCCTTCCGCATTGTATCCCTTTGCGTGCTATTGTATATCCTGACACCAATCTCAGCTCGAAACATCCACGCACGACTTTTTCTAGTATGCGAGAGGGGTCGGAGAACGCACGGGGATGCTTTACACTCGGGCGATCACTACCACCACCTCTGTCTTGCCTGCTTCTCTTGAGCCTGCTGTTTATCCGTCAGTTTGCATCTTACATACTCGTTTTTTACCCGCTCCTCTTCAGCCATCCTGTTATTTACGACTCTGCAGATGGGACATCCAAGCTTGCTCGTAGCTGGCCATAGGCACCGCACGCTCTTTCCTGCTTTAACATCCTACTCGACTGGCCCACCGCAAGGCGCACTTGCCACCGGCGCTATTGAACACCCGCTCCTTGCACCATGCGACGTCAGTGGCGCCTACACATTGCTGTATTCATATCTCCGATTGTTTGAATTCAGACAGATCTCCAGTATCCTCCCGACCAACCCTTAGTATCCCACAAACCCTCGTCTCGGTCTTCCTGCTTGGATGTCTGGCGCTGTAGGACACAGTGCATCTTTACCCACCACCCACAGTACCCACACAATACATCTGCGTCGGTCTTACAAATGAGCTTGGATGGCATTCCGAGTTGGTGAGTCGTCGCGCAGGGCAAGCGCCGACTCTGGCTATCCTCGCACACGTTCGTCTCATGCCTCTGCCGCCAACAGTCCTCGTAAGCTGGCTTCTCCCAAACATCTGAGAGTGGTCCGAGCGTGATAGGGTGTATTACCCACGTACCCATCGCTTCCGCTGTCGAGACATCACTGACAACAGGTTCGAGCGCGTACTCGCGTCGCCGTCACACCCTCTCCTGCAGTCCTGCAGCGAGCCTTAGAAACGTGCGATCTTCGTCTCTCAGGTCAGATGCCAATAGCGAGAGTCGCAATAGCGAATGTACATGTCGGTGCGATGGACGTCAGCTGGGATGAATGAGTGCCACGGTCAGAACCGTGAGGATGCTCAGTGACGCAACGAAACAAACGTTCACGCACGGCCGATTGTCTGCACCGACCATGTCAATGCACTGCGAGGGTTGATCAGTGTCATCCCGGTTCCATCATTATAACGAAATGCCGCATAAGAATCTACAGTGCCTATCGAAAATAGCGGACCATCTCGTCCGCTGCAAGTGCTTCCTCTGCTACACACAGATGGATGCAAACTCAAGCGCGGAAAAATGGTAACCAAGCTTTGGAAAATGCGGAAATGCTTTTCAGTCCAACATATTACAATCACCAGGGCATCAAGCAATTCGCATCGGGGGGGGGGGGGGGGGGGGGGGGGGGGCTTGAATCGCCAACGTCGTGGCAAGCAAGAGCGTGTTGGTCAAATAAGTAATGCCTCCACTGTGCGATGAAGGTCAAAACACTGGTAAGAAAGGGATAGAAAAAAACGAAGAAAGCTGAAGTGAGATAAGAATCGAGTAATTCAAGCAAACACCTTGCAGGCACAGTACAAAACTGGGGCCCTGCCCCGAGACATCGCATCGTCGAGAACAGCGCGGTCTGCATCCACCACCAGTGGTCATTAAGCGTTACAATTGAAGCGCTCTTGCGTTCTCGCTTCATTCCATTCTCTGGGGGACAGAGCCGCCCGGCCGACAGCGTCTGAGCTACTAGTATTGGTCGCGCCCATAGGAAGGCAGCGTAGATTTGTCATACATGCAGAGCAGTTCTGTAAAGATGCACAGTAACTTGAATCAAAGTCTGATGTGCAACATATCACATGCTGGAACCCTACGTTGTAACCCAGCTCGTATTCCGTATGCAGGCTCGGCTGGGAAGCATCCCAAAGAATACGAGGGCTCTGACTGGACACGCAGCGCTAGCATTTACATTTAATGATATAGAATGTGGTATAGAATAAAACGAGAGCACTTATCGGCTCCTGTCAGCAGTGCGCTTCGGATTCGAAAGAATACAGACGTTGCTGGACGTGCACTGACAGACAATGGAGGGCGGGCGTGTGGCGTGGGAACGCTCTCGCCCAATCAGCAGCATACAAGCGCTGCACAGTTAAAACGCCAACTCCGCCTCCTTTCAGCGACTCTCTCTGACGTCTCTCCCACAACCACACGCTAACGGACCTCCTTATATCAACGCCTGCTCTCCACCGGAGCCTGAATTCTTCAACAACTCATATCGTACGCCCTTACATTCCGTCTCGGTGCCAAACATTGAGTAAATTCGCTCTAGCGCAAGTCAGCAACTGAACAATCACCATGTTCCAATCAATAATGCCGCGCACAAACTTTGCTAATCTCTCCTACGAGCTCATCTCAAAAGTCGTGGAATTTGGGACGGGCGACGGTACCGATGCTGCCACGGGGGCCATTGTGCCACCGAGTGCCACCGGGTTACTCGCCGCGACCCACGTATGTCGCAGTTGGAGAGAAGCCACCGTACACAACGCAACCCATTGGAGGAATATTTGGATGGGAAGTTTGGACTCGGTGAGAACGATGCTGGCACGGACACTGCGATTGCCCGTCGCCGTAGCCGGCTCGTTGTCGACGGAGGCAGACGGGAGAAAGCTGGCCGTAGTCATGAACCAAATATCGCGCGTACGGTCTCTTACTCTGAAGGCTACCTCTGAGGCTTTGCGAGCGTTGGATGGACGAAAGAGAGGGGATGCATTGATCTTGGAGAGTCTTGCGATCGAGAGGGTGGACCGCGACGAGCGCGTCGACCTGTCTTGCTTCGCGTCGCCAAAGCTGCGACACCTGGACGTGTCAAATTTCGACTTCGATGAGTTCCGGACGCTGCTAAGTCCCTCCATTACCAGCCTACGAATCGCCGGCGCCTGTGTCTCCACCACGACCGGCGAAGTGGTACAGCTTCTCCACCATCTTCCCAACCTCGAGTCCCTCGAACTCAAGGTCAACCTGCTACCCACCGTCAAAGAGGATGCGTTGGTCCGGACGACTTGCCTTGAAGGATTACGTCGCGTTGACATGGCCATACAAAGTGTCGGGGAAGCAGAACTCCTGGCGTTTGTCTCGATGCCACATGTTGAGTTTATGCGGCTCTCGATTTTGTGCGATGACGACTTGCAGGAGGTCATGGAGCTGGTACGACGGCGGTTCGAGGGTGACGGTAGGACGGAATTTGGGGGATGCACGTTCTATGCGCCCAACCCCACCAGCCTCCACGTGGCGTTGACACCGGACGTACCTGGACCTGATTTCCCACCTCAGGTCGGGACGTACCTGATCTTCGACAATTTCGAAGAGTGGGACGAATATCGGGTGGTTGACGTTCTACGTATGAAGTTCGGACCAACCCGTACTGCGGCCTGGATATCCGCCGTTGAGCATCTCAGCATACGGAATGCTCGCGCCTACACCGAGATATCCACGCGAAGCTGGACGACACTCTTCAAGACCACGCCGAACATCACGACACTTCATATCTCGCATCGGGGCACGTCCGTATTCCCGATGGGTCTTTACTACCAGAAACCCGTCGATGATCTATGGTATAGGCGGCCGCTATTCCCCCGGCTCGAGTCGCTCGACCTGGAAGGCGTCTGGTTCCGTTGCTCGTCTCGGCTGTCGGAGCAGGACCAAGGCGACTTTCTGGAGCGCCTGATAAAACCCTTCAATCGCTGCGACACTACGCAACACATCAAAGAATTTACCATTCGCGAGTGTATCAATATCTTCCAAGAAGATCTCGAGCTCTTGCAGATAGTCTCGCGCAATGTCCATTGGGACGGGGTGGAGATATTCAAGGCGAGGAATGACACCTTTGAGGAGGGTGTGGACTTTGACCTTTACGACGAGGATGATGAGACAGACGGTGAGTTTGAAGATGGGGGGCCTGAAGAAGGGGAAGTCGAAGAAGGGGAGGTTGAAGAAGGGGAAGTCGAAGAAGAGGAGCCTGAAGACGAGGAGCCTGAAGAAGGGGAGCTCGAAGAGGGGAATACTGATGAGGGCGTGCTTGAAGACGGGGAGCTCGAAGACGGGGAACAGTCCTTGAGCGACGATGAACACAACGATGAGATTTCAGCTTCCTCCGGGCAAAAGGCTGATGACACGCACTCGGGCGCCAGAGGTGAAGACATCACGCCGCCCGAATCGGCTGCTGTCCTCAAGACTAAGGAGAAGTAACATACCGCAAGATGGGGAAGTACTAGGGTGGCTGGGGAGAGACTGTGAATGTAGATAGCGAAGTGGCTGTATATTTGTATATCGAATGGGAACTCCATCTCGAGTCGGAATGATACGGACAAGCTGCGCAAAATTGCGCATAAGACCTAATAGTGCAGTAAGCCGTATCGGATATTCTGCTCACCTGGCCCGTATGGAGGTGAACGACGGCATCCCGAGGATGGCGTCTCCAGTGCAGATACGTCTCGTCCTGTCCGTATAGCCGACGATACAGCATCTGATATAGCACATCAACTCGTGTCCGCGGGGTGTTTACGCGCAGCCGTCCGTCTTCTTTTACGGGCATCTGGCGACACATGCTTGCGGCATCTCTTCGTAACGGCTTCTATCATATATCGGATACATCAGCGGAAGGAGCATGAATTGCATTGTCCTCACGGAGATCATAGAATGGTCTGCGGGAGAAGATCATGACCGTGACACTCTGCCAAGACACACAATGTAGGCCGAGAAACGGCTGTCATCAGTGCTCGCTGCGTCGCCTGTTGGCATTGATCGCGTATCGATTCTACTCGACGGATGTTTCGGCAGAAGGCGTTCTCCCGTTCCGTCATCGTCCAGCGAAGGAACGCGGGCGTGAGTGAAGGTACATACATCAGGGATACTGCCGAGCTTCGATCCTTCGGAGGGCCTTGTTCCCCGCGAGTCGCGATCCTGTGTGGTATGCGAGAGGGACGGCACGTCACGACTCTCAGCAGCTAACGCCCGACGACCGCCCTACAACAGCGGCGTATCTATGGCATGTTTCTTCAAGAGATGGTGGAGGGTTTCGACGCAGAGAGATGTGTATCTGACGGGTTGGAAACCACGCTCTACGAATGCATCGCAGGGACGCGGAAACGTACCGTTCAAAATCAGGACGCGGCAGATCTGAAGATGCAGAGGCATCCATCTGTTTTCTGATGACTGCCTGTCCTTGTCGCAGGCGGACGTCTTCGATCCCTCAGCAGTGGATCCTATGCCTCGCACGGGGAATACAAGGAACAAACTCTCGCGCCCGCACGAGTACGCGGCGAAACCCGTGGATGGATCGATGAAGGATCAGTGTTCATTGCTGACGGTGATAACCCACCAGATACGTACGTGGCTGGTGAGTTAGCAGCATCAAGTCCTTGAACGCAGAAAGGACAGCTGCGTTGGAAGAGCCATGAGGATCTCTCCCGGTGCCTGATGCGGTCCCGTTCCTCGCGTCGACCGTCTGACCAGGATCAGGGAGATCAGTGACCTTCGGGGTGCGTTATAAGACCTCCTTGCACGTAGCATCATAAATATTCGAGCACGTCGCAGGGCCCCTGACCCGTACTATGAAACGTCAGCCTTCCACAGATCCAACATTCCCGAGCGACAGTCCTCGGCAGGCCTTTCCGTCCTGTTTTAACAGTGCTCGATACCTCTCACACGGGCAGGGGCCGGCCATGAAGATGACGATGAAGACAGTCGTCCAGCGCGGGCGTAGTCATTCCTCGTGGTGATAATACCTTAGTATCGGATATCGGAGCAGGTGTACCGTCGATGGGTTGAACATCGACATAGACGACTTGAAACACGGGAGAGTGCCCAGCCTAGAGTGAACGGTAGGCCATTCGCTAGCGAACGAATGGGACAGATGATCACGATGGCGGAAGCAAATTGTTCTGCGCCACAACGCTCGTCTGACCTCCCACCAATCGCATTCGCGCACGAGAGTCGGCTCTTCAATGCAAACGGTCCTTCCTCTCTGATCAGCCCTGCCATAATTCCCTCTTCGTTCTTTCTTGATTCTCTCCACCTGTACTCCATCAATGGAACCGTCGAGCGTCTACCTGAACTCGGTCGCCGACTTGTCGAGCTCCCTCAAGTGCCGCCCGGAACAGGCAGTTTCCGCATCGTAGCCCGTTCCACGCTATTGTCGTGCCTCACCCCAATACCACCCTCGAATCCTTCACGGAGCTCTCCGTGGAGATTCCTGAGAGGGATCGGCGAAAGCAGGGTTATGTTCTGACCCATTCCTTGTACTCTGGTGATTGCCACCACTTGCTCTGTCTCTTCTGTGTTTCTTGCCTGAGAGGTGCTGTGGCGGACAGCTCGCATACAATTCCCCCGGCCGCTTCCTCGCAGGTCATCTGCCTCTCCTAGCTCTCGTGGTATCTGTGACTCTGCCGTCGACTTCCCCGCCACGAAGAATGCGCACATGCTCTGGCGCCATTGCACGTCCGGTCCCTGCACCATGCAATGCAGTACGCGGCCCGTAACGCTCACGTCCCGTTCAACGGAAACGCGCCTGTCCTCCTGATCAGCCCTCCAGTATTACAATTGCTCGCATGGATCCCGAGGCCTGAGGCCCGTAGGCCGTGTCGAGTGCCGTACGACGCAACGGAAGTTGGCAGCAACAATCAACACGCGCTTGCTTCCCACTACCCGTAAGTATCCTCCCTGAGCCGGCACCCACTTGAGCTACCGTCGCCCACATCCCTCAGCCTTGAACCGTCCTCGTAAGACGTTTCCGCAGAGGTGCGTGAGAGTGGCTGGAAGATGATCGGATGTGTTATCCTCGTACTCGCGAGTCTCCCCCGCATCCGCTGGCTCGCCGCGGCTCTTGTCAGAGGAATCACTGGCGGCGAGTTCGGGTGCGTACTTGCGTGGCCGTCAACCGCGAGCCTCAGCACCGTGCCATCTGCGACTCCGAGAGTGGAACCTTCAAGTCTCCTGTTGTGTCTCACCGTTGCACTCCCACTCTTGCTTTCACACACGGCTTGGCTTTGCCTCCCCGCTCCCGAGCCCCAGCTCTCCCCTCCCTTCCGGCGTCAGTCCAAGGTCAGGCCTAGTCACCCGCTAGCGTTAACTAGCCCGGGCGAATGCATCCACGCTCTCGTGAAGGGCATTACCCTCTTGGTTCGATTTGTGCTATGGTACGTACTGTACGGCAGTGACATTCAGTGCTCGCTCGCGTGATGCGGTGATATATGCAGCGCGTACAAGTTTCGGACCTAACATTCTTTATCATTTGCTCCGTCTGCCTCCTGCACTTCCCCTCTTCGCTTCCTGGGACGAACGAGCCGACTGCTCTGCAGGACGCCTCGCGGGTGAACGCGCGGTGCTTGTTTCCTAGCGGCCGACGTGCGCTCCCCCGCCCCACCTTTCCTCCTCCCTCTCCCTGTCGTCTCTGTTCGACGTCTTCTTTCTTTTCTGTCCTTCCTCTCCCGCTCCTGACCGTCCCGCCTTCGACAACCCGTCCATCCGTCCCGCACATCTGCTCGAGGTGGTTCACATGTTTCGGAGTTTCGCGTGGCGCAGCGGTGCGGGTCGACGTGCGCTATGTCTGCCTCTTATGTTTACCCCGGTGCCCTTTTCACTTTTACCTTTCCTCCGCCATTTCTCGGGCCCGTCCTGAGCCACTAACCAACTGTTCACCGGTCCAATCTACAGACTCGTCGTCCGCTTGTGTGTGACGGGCCGAACACCGAGCTCTGGGATGGCGTGGATATGTGCTCAGGTTTGGGGGGGTGAGCGCTGTAGCGATGGTCGGATGGTTGTTTTGGGTGACCGCGAAGAAGCTCGAGATGTCTGGGGTACAAACACGTGTGTATATGGTTCCAGAGTCAATAGGAGACTACGATTTTTGATTACATTTGCTAAGTATAGTTCCAGGGCGGATGGTGTGTTGTACTAATGTCCTTCTCGAGGATCATAAACGGGGAGTTCAGGTAGCGAGACTTGTGGACAGCGACTGGGCGTGTACACGCAAAAATAGGGATGACGGGAGCAGATGCTAGGGTGACATGTTTCATGGATGGGAGATCATAACTCCCGAATGCGACTGCGAACGTCATCTGATGAGAGTCCTCAGCGAATCAGCAAAACATCACCCATAAAGTGTTCGCGTGTGGCCGGTCTTTGGGTGCCAAAGAACAGACCATGCGCCAAGGGATTTGATCACTACCCTGAAGAACTCCAGCTGCAATTCTGGGGGAGAGAAAAATCTCTTCCATCGAGACGCATCACCAAATACACCATGAGGCTACATGAGGAAGGAAAGAAACGCATGTAATTGCAAAAGTGCACAGGAAGTGGTCACAAAGCCTTCGAGAAACCAATATTATTTTACACCATAGCATCCTACAATTACAAAGGCATAGGGGATTTGGATCGCGTGGTTGAGAAGAGCTAACGTGGTGGCAAGCGGAGAGCATGTTGGATGAGCCAACGCATTCGCCACGATAAACGTCAAATGCGCAGCGCTCCGGGCGGACAGGAAGAACTCCGAAGAAGCAGGCGAAAAAATGAGCACGGTAAGAATTGAGTAGCGCAAATACACCTCACAGGCACCTCAGAATCGGGAGCAGCGGGGACTCTGCTGCCAGCAATCTTTATCGTTGAGCACACTGTCGTCTACACACATCGTGTCGTCAGCGGAAATAAATATTAGCCCCAGCGTCACTCACTTGCCAGCCGTCCCTGTGAATGACCATGACTCATGAACAATGGTGACCTGTACCAGACCAATGGAAATGCTCACCAGTCAGTTCACGGGAGATAAGGTATCCTGCCGTTCAATGGTCGTTGCCAGAGAACCCGCATTTCCACCTGGAGATTAAGCAAGGTGAACCTCACAAGTGAAAATACGGTTCGGGAAGATAGCATGCTGCTCGCCCAGGACCAAAGCTATTCCCTGTACGGTTTGGAAAGGACTTGTCAGCGCATGGACGAATGTAGAATATCATGAATCGCACCATACGCCAGAGACGCAGCAAACAGTGTCTTGTTCTTGGTGGAGAGCTCTTCTATTGTAGCAGTGGTGACCTATAAAGTGGACTGCGAACGGCAGGAGCTTCGTATCTCGCGTGTTCGTGACCGAGACTGTCCCAAGGAATATGGACGGTCAGACTGGATACCCAGAGCTTGCCTTTGAGAAGGAGACAGTCTGAGGGTCTGAGGCCGCCAAATATAACCAGGGCACTGAGCAACCCCATGAGCAGAACGCTTGCAACTTGCAAGAGTATTGATGCGTCAATTGGTGCCAGTGCGCCACTGGCCGGACAATGGAGGGCGGGCGAGTGGCGTGGGAACGCTCTCGTCCAATCAGCAGCATACAAGCACTGTACAGTTAGAACGCCATCCCCCCTTCTTTCAGCGATAGACATTGTTCCTTTCGACTTGCGTTCCACCATAACCGCACTATATCTGCTTTCCGTATATCGTCACCTATTGGCCGCCTAAGCCCAAATCACATAACAATCCTTATACCGTACGTCCTCTATGGTACTGCCCTGAATTTCGGTGCAAACACTGATTAAATCCTCTCTAGCGCAGACCAACCATCGAACACCTACCATGTCCCGCACCAACTTCGTTAATTTCTCCTACGAGCTGATCTCGAAGATTGTCACCTTCGCGGCGGGGGACGGTATCGATGCTACGACGGGGGCCATCGTGCCACCGAGTGAAACCGGGTTGCTCGCCGCAGCCCACGTATGTCGCAGCTGGCGGGAAGCGGTGCACAACGCAACCCACTGGAGGAGTATATGGATGGGAAGCTTGGACTCGGTGAGGACGATGTTAGCGTGCACACTGCGTTTGCCCGTCGCCATAGCCAGGTCATTGTCGACAGAGGCAGATAGGAGAAAGCTGGCCGTGGTGATGAACCAGATATCGCGCATACGGTCTCTCAGCTTGAAGACCACATCAGAGGCGTTACGGGCGTCGGATGGACGAAGGAAAGGGGGGGCGTCGATCTTGGAGACGCGTGAGATCAAGAGGAGTGGACCGCGACGAGCGCGTAGACCTGTTCTGCTTCGTGTCGCTGAAATCTAAGTGGCTGGACGTTATAAACTTCGACTTTGAGGAGTGCCGAGTGCTGCTCAGCCATCCATAACCAGTTTGCGGATCACAGGCGCCTACGTCTCCACCATCACCGGTGAAGTGTTATAGCTTCTCCAGCAGCTCCCCAACCTCGAGTCGAGCGACTTTCCTGGGAAGGAGTTCTTTCATTCCGCCAAGGAAAGCGGGGGTGCTACCGACGCCACTTGTAAAGGAGCATCAGCGATAAGTGTCGAAATACGATTTCTCACTGTTCCCTACGTGTCGCTGCCCAGTGTGGCGGTTGCCCATATGAGAGGGGCAGCACGCCAACAGCTGCTGCGGCTAACTCAATACGACAGCCTCGTATCCACGATATGTTTCTTCGAGAGGTGGCTGAAGGGGTTTCGGTGCAGACGCGATGCGAACAGACGTGAACCTGCCGGGTAGGAGACAATGCTCTATGAATTCAGCGCCGTGAATACTCCATGCCACTAGTCATCCTTGCAGAATGTTGTAGGCATCTTCCGTCCCTTTCCAATGGAACCACATGCCTCGCCTGCGGAATGCTCGCACCAACACGCGACGAAAGTCGTCAATGGACCGATGAAGCAATTGTATGCATTACTGATGGTGATAACCCACCCGATACGTGGGTGGCTGGTGTATTAGCAACATCAATCATTTGAATGCGGCGGAGATAACTGTGTTTGAAGATTCAGATCCGTGAGGATTCAATGACTGATGCCTTGTCGACTGCAGAGGTACACAATGGACCCACCGGCAGTGTTCATAACTCCGCATAAACGAGGCAGACGAAGTCGCCTATGATAATCCATATGTAGCATAGAACTTTAAGACCTCGATATCTTGCTCGTAACGGTTAAGTCCGCCTGAACCCTCTTCCGCATACGACAGGCTTGGAATGAATCCGACCCAGGAGCTCTCCGAACCGTTTTGCGATAGTGGAAAAACTCGAAATGAAGAAGAAAAGGCAGCTAGGCCTTGCAGACGCAGTAACAAAAGACGGAAAAATGTTTGTAGGAGGACGCCGGTATGATTTGGGTCTCAGACCATGTAGACCGTTACTGTCGAGTGTACGAAGGTAACAGCCACCATAACCAAGCAGCCACTGTGGCATCCCGCCATCCCGCAGACACTCTTCAAGGACGTCGCGCTATGATCACGCAGTATTCAGGCCAAGACGTTTATTCCAATCAATATAGTACGATATCGTGTATATGGATAGCATTAGATCGCATCTAGAGTACAAGGGGTAACAAATCTTCGGACCTGTAACAAGCAATGCCGCACAGAGGTATCTTCTACATCGTGAGTGAAGCGGTTCCAAGAATAAAGAAAATAGTGTAGATAATACAGCCCCCGACCCAGACACATTTACTTGTCCTTCTTGACGACGTTCATGATGGCCTCGATGCCCTTTACGCCGAGGCCGCCCTTGGGATATGCAATATATAGCTACGAAACCGGGGGATTAGCATAAGATGCCTGACAGCACAAGGTGACAGGCGACACACCGGTTCCTGATGCGTGCCAAACTTGCTCCGGAAGTCGCCCTTGTTCAGGAGGTTGAATGACGACGACAGGCCGTTGTACGTCTTCTCCAACGTCCGGATCCTGAACCCGCCGATATTGTCGGCGCGTTCCAGCCTATCCCTCGCGCCAGCACCGAAAGTGGCGGAGCGCACGCCCGCGTTGCCCATCTTTCGAATGACGTGCCAGAGGATATACTAGGCAAGCGCGACATCAATAGCAGGCAATGAACAGGAGATTAAATGAACAGACCTCGATGGCTCCGTTCGGCGCGCCAGGGAACTCGAGGGCCCACTTGATCTGGAAACCGTGCCTCGCGGCCAGCTGCGCGAGCACGACAAGGCAGCACACCTTCCGATAGGTCGCATCAGCATTGCCCTGAGCAGGAATAAGCAACACAACGTACCTTGCCCTCCTTGTCATGCGCCACAAAGTACTTCCGGTGGGCCATGTCATCAAACGGTCTGACACCCGTAAGATGGACCTGCTCCCCCTTCCTATTCGACTGCCAATCCTTCAGGCGCTGGTCCACCGCCTTGCGCAGGTCGTCGTCAAAGTGATCCACCTCCGTCACCTTCACGCCGTCCCGCTCGGCTCTGTGGATCTTCCTCCTGAAGTTCTTGTCGTCCTCGGGGTGCACCTCCGCCGGGTTGAGCCGCTCCTCCGCAACGACGATGATCCCGCTCCACCCGAGGTCGTGCGCGAGGTACTGTTCCGTCTCGCGGTCGATGCAGCACCATACGGGCTTGAGCTTCAGCTGCTCGAGGTAGTGGAGGTACGCGCGGACGACTTGGGGTATCTGGTCGTGCTCGCATAGAGGGTTGCCAAACGCGACGGCGAAACCGTCCGAGGGGATGTAACCGATGGCGGCGCCGGTGATATCGTGCCGCCATACTGTCCACGCCGGGTCCACCCACGACGTGTTCGTGGCGTCTCCGTATTCCGCGATGAGCTGTGACGTATGTCAGTACTGCGCGCCCACATTATCGCAGACAGAACTCACGTTCTCGAGCGGCGGCAAGTCAGTATGCGGTCTCTTGTCATGGAACGTATGCGACTTGGGCCCGCTCAAGATCGCCTTCTGCGCCATCTCCATCGCAGCCTCCGCGATCTCCTTCTCCGTAGCGGGGAAGCTCTTCGGATCGCGAGGGAATAGACTCGCCCAGCGGATGTTGCCGAGCTTCAAGAGGAGCATAACCACTCGCTCGAGGCCGATACCTCCTCCGCCGTGCTAAGGCCGACGCCGTCAGTCATCGGTACGCAAATAACGATGCAGCGTATACTCACCGGTGGACATCCCCACCTGAAGCCGTCGACGTAGTCCTTCATGCTATCCGGGTTAATTTTGGCTTCCTTCATGCGATCGATGAGCATATCCGCGAGGTGGATACGCTGCCCGCCGGACAGGATCTCCTCGCCACGGATGAAAAAGTCGTACGAGTTGGAGAATTTCTGCAGCAAGACAGTGTGGTCAGCCGACGGTGAAGACGCACGCGCACGACGGACTGTACCGGGTTTTCCGCATCGGGCATGGTATAGAACGGTCGCACAACAGCTGGGAACTTGTCTGCCCGCGCGCATAAGTACCCCGCGTTCTCGCAGTAACGAACGAGGCAGACGTACCGAGAATATAATAATCCGTATTATACTTTTCCTTGACAATTGCCCCGAGCCTCCGCTCCGCCGCCGTGCTCAGATCGTCTTCCTCCGTCAGCTCGGTCCCGTCCTCCTCCTTCCACCCGTCCTCGCGCAGCAACCGAATGCCGTCTGCGTACTTGAGCCGCAGAGTCTCGTCGGGCACTACGAGGTCGTCGTGGGGGAACTGCTGCTTCACGGTGTCGATCTACCATAGAATTCGGTTAGACCAATCAAGGACGCGGATTCAAGGAAGACCCGCACCTCCTCGCGGTAGTCCCGATAGATCGTCTTGAAGATGTACAGGAACATCTCGTCGATGAGGTTCATGACCTCGTGGTAGTCCGCCTCGAACGCCATCTCGAGATCCAGCCCCGTAAACTCTGTCAAATGGCGGTGCGTATTCGAATTTTCCGCGCGGAACACTAATCGCACTCGTCAGTCGAATATCCCCTCACAGCGGTATCACACCTCACTCACCCGGCCCCACCTCAAACACGCGCTCCATATCCGCGGCGATGCACATCTGCTTCATCAGCTGCGGGCTCTGCGCGAGGAACGCGTTCCGGCGGAAATAGTCGACGCGGAAGACGCTCGCGCCCGACTCGGTCGCGCCCTCCTGGAACTTGGACGAGTGGATCTCGGTGAAGCCCTTTGCGCGCAGGAACTCGCGGAAGAGGTTGACGATGGCGGAGTGGATGCGGAAGATGGACTGCGAGACGGGCGTGCGGAGGTCGAGGACGCGGTGGTTGAGGCGCGTGCGTTCGCCGACGCGGGTGAAGTGCGCGTCCTGCTGAGAGGGGAGGGGTAAGCGGATGATGTATGTAGATATTGTAGAAGCAACGCACGTTTTTGTAATATTCCAAAGGTCGCGACGCGTCGTCGACTTGGAATGGGAGGGTCGCCGAGGGTTCAGCAATGAGGTAGAGCTACGAGTATGTTGGCGCTGGTCCGAATACCCATCAAACAGCGATTCTCGCTCACCTTTTCGATCTTGATCTCAATCTCGTGGATGGTCGTGCTCTTGACCTTATCCTGGCCGGCCTCTTGCGGCGCATGCACCTTGCCCTCGACGAGTACGATCGACTCGCGATGCAGATCCTCTGCCCAGCGCACCATGTTATCCGAGACGACCCCGTCTTCGACCGTGAGGACGCCTTGGATGGTATGGAGCTGGTGCCGGAAGACCATGAACGTGATTTTCGAGCCTGTACATAGGACGGTGAGGGAGAAGAGCACGGAGGGTGGGAGTAGAGACGCACTGATGGCTCGCGAATGGTGGATACGCGCGCGGAAGCGCACGGGCGAGCCGACTTGCATCTTGGCGATGTCATGGAGGCTCTGTCGCTCTGCAGTTCGCGTCAGCCATTTGTACGAGGTGGACAGGAAATGACCGGTACCTCCGGGCTTGAGATGCACGGTCATATGCCCATAGTGGGCTTTCAGCGGGTCCTGAGTATCCAAGTCAGCGAAAATAAGAGTTACGAAACAGACCGACATACCGCTTCGTATGCCTCGAGCCTCTTCCTCTCCCTCTCCTTCCTTTCCTCCTCGTCGTGGCCCGCCCGGTCCTCCCGCCGATGCACCTTCATCTCGGTGAACGACTCGCTCCGTTTCGACCGGCCGTGGTGGCCATTGGCGTGGGCGTCGCCGTTCGCGGCGTGCTGCTTGTCCTTCTCCTGCTGGTGCTGTGCCTTGGTGGCGCCGTTCGCGGTCTTTTCCTTGTCCTGGCCGTTGATGTCCTTCGCAACGGACTCGGCCCGTCGGTGCGTCGGGGTGACTTTGGAGAGCAAGCGCTTCACCGTCGACATCGGTGAGGACGGGAGGCGGTGGGGTGGATGTGTGCGGGATGTGTTGGACGATGAGGAGAGCGGTCGGCTGGCGACGCGCGAGGGACTTTAAGGACGCGCGTGGTCGGTGGAGATGCAGCGCGTTCGGTGCACGGCACTGGCTGACGTACGTTTGATGGCTGACGTCACTCGTGTGCTCTGGACTTTTGCCTGCGATCTTCTGCGACTCGTTCCATCCTCGCTCCTCCCTGCGTCAGCATCATATCTGATACGTCGACGCCTGTGCAGGTATCTGATAAAGGCTTTTGTCTCAAAATACATTTTATTTCATTGCGTTGCAGAGCGCGAACTGAGAGAGAGTCGGCGTCGGGAACATCGCGGTCTCGGACGGGTTCGGAGGTACTTGGACTTCTCAGTAAGCACGTCCATCGACCGTCCGGCAATTGACTCGCGTCTGCGGAACTCTAACATTCGGCACGTCTGCTACCCTCCCTCCGCGCTCGTGATATCTCCGTCAGCAATCCTAGCGTAAGCTCTTCCTTTCGCGCGGATATCCCAATAGCTCGAGCCCTCCGAGTCTCGGCGGCTCGTCTGGCGTCGCTATCGCATCGAGCGGGGACAGTCATTTTGGCTTACGCTCACTGGAAGCCGATCGTCCAGTGCTTCTCCCGGCGGCTTCCGTCGTTATCTAAAGTGGGCAAGATCATTTCCTGTTCTGTTGATTTGACCCGCCCCACGCTCCCCCGCCAAGACCAGGAAACATGACGAAGGTTCCCGTCTGTGCTGACGGTCTCTACATTCTTCCTGGAGGGCACACGACTACTCCGGTACGCTCTGGAGTTATGCAGACGTATCGCAGCGAAAGTACTCGAGGACGGGTCTACTCGACGGCGCTCCGAAATTAGCAGGAGTTTCACGGTGCTGTAACCCATCAGTGGTGCGGCGGAAGTTTATCGGTCCCGACAACGCCTTGCAGAGTCGCGGCGACGATCTAAATATGTCTCCAGCCACGGCTTTTCTTGGACGTACCTGAATGCGATGACAAGTCGCCTCAGGTTAGGGTTCTCGTGCGTATCGTTCCAACCGCGCGTCGCGCCAGATATCGAGCCCCGCTTCAATGCCTAATCCTTCGTCAGCCCTCCCGACTGTTTCGCCGACTCGGTTGTCAACCTCCGAACGTCCACATGATCTCTGAAAGGCAGGTAAGTCTCACCCTTCTCCCGGAGAATGACCTATGCTCTGGGTTGACCTAGTCTCGCTAGGTCCGTGCACGCCGCCGACGCAGGCGCCCACAATATACGACGCACGGAGCGGGAACCCCGCGGTAAGTTCAACAATTTATGAGGAAAGGATCCCGCAAGCCGCGAAAGTGCGGCGGCTATCATAGCTCACCACGATCTTGCTCTCAGGTAGCAGGACTGCCTCGCGCGCCGGTGTAGTTGTCGTACTACCGTCTGCGCACGGATGCCGAGGCGCACCCTGGCGCCGTAGGGGAAGTCTCTCGCTCCGAGGGACGTCAGGTGATCGTCCTCGCGCCGCATCTGTCAAGCGCGCCAGCCCTGGTGCGCTTTCCTGCGTGCAAGCGTCTGAAGTTCGGATGTACGTCGAGGCATATTGTGGAGGTGTGCGCGATCCGGAAACTGGTGACTGGATCGCCACAGCGTCGAAGGAAGCGGGTGCAAGACCGACGGAGCAGCAGAGGTGTCTGAGGTAAACGATGGGAGGGCGCAAGTCTCGTGGTACGTCTCGCGATGTAGTAAATCACCGTCGCAGACACTGGCCCGCGGGATAGGGACACAGACATGGAGCGACGATGAGCAACGGGGTGGGTCTTTGGGATACAACATGGTTTATAAATCTCTGCAGCCACGCTCTTCTTGGACGTACCTGGATGTGATGACAAGTCCGCTGAAGCATGGCTGACATTCAGCGTCTCGTACGTTGTTCGTATCTTGCGTCGCGTGTTTCGTCTCGGTTACCAATGCGCTATCCATCGAGTCCTTGGTCAGTGCTTTCGCGGGCGGTCCAGATGTCCCGACTCTACATGATCGTAAGCCTCACTCTTCGCCTGGCGAGCGACAGGCGCTCACCCCTTTTATTGAGGCTCCATCTCACGCCAGTCTTGCTAGGTCCGTGTCCGTCACGAGCGTCGGAACTTCCATGTACGATGCTCAAAACGATCGGTTGTCGGGTAATCTGGGTGACCGCGACATGATGGTAATATGGTACGTTCCACTACGTCGTGGACATCAGGTAGCGACACTGGCTCACCATGATATTGCTCTCAGGTAGCAGGACCGGAGGTGCACGCCTGCGCACCGCAGTGTCCTCTTGTCTGCGCACGCATGCGTCGGATGCCCTCACAGCAACACTGTAGCCGACGTCGGAACCTCGGCTTACTCCCAGACTTGGTCTGCGAGCTCTCGCAGCACGGGTCTGGGCGTTGGTTGAGGAATCGGACGTTTGCGCAGAAGAACACGCGCCGGGGCTGGCTCTCGACCAGAAGGTTTGACTCAATGATGATGACTTGACATCCGTACCGGATGCCGAGCTGCGAGGTGCCAGCGAGCGGGGGCGTTGGGTTGGCGTATCGATACGTCACGGTAGCGATGGCGCGGGGCCTAAGGATCCGAGTGCGAAGGCTACGGGGCAGGGGGGGTATACGTCGGGAACCCGGGAGTTCGGAGCTTCGAAGGGCGATCCGGTAAGTCCCCGCGGCGAGAACTGACTCGCAATCCATTTTTGTCCATGACCTTAGCCGCTCGTCGCGGATATCTGCTTCATGAGCAGGGTGTACATGATAACACTGTCTGTAATACTGGCTGACAAGCCTGTAGTCTGGTTTCCAAATCTCATCCGCCCATTTTCTGACCTTCTCCCAGGTATCATCTGATACATAGAGGCCTAATTCTACCCATATGGAATGGATCTGACTATCTGGCAGGGGGTTTACGCACCTCCCAGTCAACATTGAAACACCCACCGGGACCCCCCTCCCCCCCTGCGGCCGCCTGCGGGTGCTTGTGTGCCGACGGCCTGCAACCCGCGACGGCGGGGGCTGGAATTGCTCCCCTCTCTCTGCTCTTTGTTGCAGCACCCTATTTCCACCCTTGTGAGCCTCTTTGCTTAGGCACCGCAGCTGCCAGACCCTCCCATTCAGCCTCCACCGATCTCCCTTGCCGGCACGGACATCGACGGTGGGGGCTGAAAGGGGTCAAATCTCTCCCCTGTTGCATCGCGTCCCCCCTTCTGAAGCTCCCTGAGTCTATCTCGGTAGGCACCCAACCCGCGAAACCCCCATCGCTCG